CCGTGTGTTTCCTTCCAGTTCTATCAGTTTTTGCTTCAGGTGTTTTCAAGCTGTGATATTAGGTGCATACGCATTTAGAATTGTTTTATCTTAGTTGACCATTTGTTTTTAAAGTGTCCTTCGTTTATCTCTATTATATTTGTGGTTCTGAGTTCTTTTCTGATACTAGGGTAGCCTTCCCAGCTTTCTTGTGATTGCTGTTTACATGATACATTTTTCCAGTTTTTACTTATAATTTCATCTGATTTTTTATGTGAAGTAGGTTTCTTGCATATACTGTATGGCACAATCTTGCCTTTTCTTTCTTTTTTTTTTTTTTTTTGAGACAGAGTCTCGCTCTGTCGCCAGGCTGGAGTGCAGTGGCGCGATCCCGGCTCACTGCAATTTCCGTTTTCTGGTTTCAAGCAATTCTCCTGCCTCAGCCTCCCAAGTAGCTGGGACTACAGGCATGTGCCACCACGCCCAGCTAATTTTTGTATTTTTAGTAGAGACGGGGTTTCACCATGTTGGCCAGGATGGTCTCGATCTCTTGACCTTGTGATCCACCCGCCTCGGCCTCCCAAAGTGCTGGATACAGGTGTGAGCCACCGCGCCTGGCCGCCTTTTCTTTTTTTTAAGACAGGGCCTCTTGCTCTGTTGTCCATGCTAAAGTTTAGTGGCATGATCATGGCTCACTGCAGCCTTCATCTCCCAGGTTCAAGCAATCTTCTCACCTCAGCATTTCAAGTAGCTGAGACTGCAGGTGTGCACCACCACAGCTGGCTAATTTTAATTTTTTTGTGGAAAGAGGATCTCACTGTGTTGCCCAGGCTGATCTTGAACTCCTGGGCTCAAGCGATCCTCCTGTCTTAGCCTCGGAAAGTGTTGGGATCACAGGCATGAGCCACACGCCTGGCCAGAATCTTGCTTTTACTCTCGTGGGAGAATCTCTGCTTTTTGATCGGAATGGTTAAAGTAGTGCTGCTGTTCCGTAGAATTTTTGGTGATGATGAAAAGGCCCTGTAGTCTACTTTCTATAGTGGGACAGCCATTTGCCACATGGGGCTCCAGGGCACTTGAAATGTGGCTAGTGCAATAGGAACGAAGTTTATCATTTAATTTAATTTTAATTAATTAATATGTACATTTAAATTGCCACAAGGGGTTGATGGCTACTGGAGTGGACAACCTGTGTTCGGCTGAAGCGTTGTTAGTGTAAGGCCATCATGTTCTGCTTTACATCTACTGTCTTGACGTTTGCTGTCTGTATTTCCCTTCTGTTCTCTTTTTCTTTTTTCTTTCTCTTCCTTCCTTTTTTTTATGGAGTGAGTAATTGAGTGCTGTTTCGCATTCCATTTTGTCGCCACTATTGGCTTATGAGAGATTCCTGTTTGCTTCTTTTTTTTAGTGGTTGCTTTAGAGTTTACAACATAGGTCTTTAACTTTCCACAGCCCGCCTTGAGATATCATGTCCTGTGTGGTGGATTGTGTCCTGTGTGGTGGATCGTGTCCTGTCTGGTGGATCGTGTCCCGTGTGGTGGGTCGTGTCCCATGTGGTGGGTCATGTCCTGTGTGGTGGGTCATGTCCTGTGGTAGCTTGTGTCCTGTGTGGTGGGTCATGTCCTGTGGTGGGTCGTGTCCTGTGTGGTGGGTCGTGTCCTGTGTGGTGGGTCGTGTCCTGTGGTGGGTCGTGTCCTGTGTGGTGGGTCGTGTCCTGTGTGGTGGATCGACTGCACAGGGATGCAATTCTGGGTCCCATGCCTGCCCCTTCAATGTGCTTTCAACATATTGAGCACCATGCGTTATTTATCACACGTGATGACACTGGCACATAGTTACGGATTTTGCTTTCACAAACTGTAGTGTTTTAAATAAACGAAAGCACCTCTTTTTAATTTACGTGCTGGCATTCTTCAGTTCTTTGTGTAGATCCAGGCTTCTTGCTGTTACTTTTACCCTAACTAGCTGCTTCTAGCATTTGCTGTACTTTACACCTGGTTGGAACTGACGCTTTTCATTTTTGCTTATCAAAATCTGCCCCTGGTTTTGAAATGTATTTCCAGTGGGTATAGAATTCTAGTTCTAACTTTTTCCTTCCAGCACTTTAAAGACATCCTTCCATTGACTTTCGGCTTCCACAGTTTCTGATGAAAGGGTCAAGTCTTTCTCATGTTTTCTTCTTCCTCATGAAATGTGCAGTTTTTCTCTGGGCCCCTTTTAGGGTTTCTTTATCACTGATTTTCTGCAGTTTGCCTATAATGCACTTGGATTCTAAAAATATGTATTTATTCTGCTTGTGGATTGGTGAACTTCTTGAATCTCCGAGTTCATCGTTTCATGAAATTTGGACGCCTGTGGTCAAGATTTCGGCGGTTCTGTTAGTTTGTTTTGTTTTCGCCCCCCCTGCTGCCCCTCTCCCTGTGTGTGCCTCTTACTGGCCTGCGACCTTGGGTGGGCCGTGTGACCTTGAGCAGGTCCCCTGCCCGCCTGAGAACGGGGAGTGACGCAGGGCGCTGGTATGAGTTCCTGTGCTCCTGCCAGAGCTTGTCCCATGTTAGAAGGAAAACTTCAGCGGAATTACATTTAAAGGAGTTTAATCAAGGAATGAACGATTTGTGAATCAGGCACCTCCCGAGCCAGAGCAGGCCCAGAGACTCCAGCACAGCCAGTGGGTAGAAGAAGATTTTGACAGAAACAGTAAAGTGACGTATCGAAAACGGAAGTGAGGCATGGAAACAGCTCGATGACAGCTCGGTGTTTGCCTTTCGAGCACGGTTCCCACAGTTGGCTACGTTAGAGTGGCCAAAACTCAGTGACTGGCACAAGCGAAGGCCGTGGTCCGTTCACACTGCCACTTGCTACAGCTGTACGGGGAACCCTTTAGGCTGGACGGAAGGCGTGTAAGGAGCGCCTTGAGGCTAAACTCGATTTAACCCATTATCATTCTTGTCGTTTCACTGATGCAACTGATGCCCTGACTTGACCTTGCTGGGGCTGGGCCATGTGACATCGAGGGGTGGTGGGTGCTGGGTGATGGGGGGCTGTTCCTCAGGCCTCCTTCCTGGAGGCTGCCTGGAAGTTTCTTCTTTCTCCAGGCCTTGCATGAGTGTGGCTGCTGGACCAGGAGGCCTGCGGCTGGGGCAGGGCAGAGGCAGCCAGACGGAAAGTATGTAGAGGCCGGGACTTGGCCCTGTGAGCCAGGGGGGCCCAGAGCAGCCATGACAGGCCTGTGCACTCACAGACAGGGTGCTAGGGTCAGCCCTGTGCTGGCCAGGCAGCTCAGTGACCCCGAGCAGAGCCAGGCTGGGGCCTCGCCCTGGTGGAGCACCACATGTCCAGCCAGGTGTGCCGTGTCCCTTCATGCTGGGACACCTCAGGCCGCCCAGACAGGGTTAGTGTTGGGAGGGTCCCCACGGCACCCTTAGCGTTTTCTAGCCCTCACTCCTGTTTGTAGACCTCAAACCATGTTCCTTTATTACTGAGCTTTAATATGGAAAATTCTAAACACCCTGAGAAAGTCGAAAGCACTGTGCAGACACCCGCGCAGCCGGCACCTGGACGCGGGCCTGGAGTCTGGCTGCCTGGGCTAGCCGCACCTTCTGTGCCTCCACCTGCGCACGTTTCAGAGTGAACCGGCCCTCGGCGCGTTTCCTCCTGACGGCCGGTTGACTGGCCGTGCATTTTTCTTTCAAGGTGACATGTATGTGCAGTGAGTTACACAGCTCCTAAGTGTGCCGTTCTGGGCGTTGTGACAGAATCTGTAACCCACAGCTCTGTCCAGGCACAGGGCAGTCCCCCAGGAGCGTCCGTCCTGCCCTGCCCCAGCTCCCCAGCCTGCTCAGAGGCCCCGGGATTGCCTTGGTGGTTCTGGTCCTTCGTCCCGTTGGCGCTGGCATCTGGGCGATGTTTCTGAGATTCCCCGTGTTGCGTGCCTGCAGTTTCCTTGCACACAGGCCCCGTGTGACTGTCCTTTCTGCCGTGTCTCCTGGACAGCAGCCCTCTCTCTGGGTGTGGGCTGGTAGGAATCAAGCTGCTGGGAGTGGGAGTGCTCTTCAGGAGCTTCTCTGGATGTGTGCTCCTCCTCTGTAACCCCGAGGGCTGCCAGCTGGAGGGTGGGCACGGCGAGTGTTTTGATGTGGTTTGGTGTGCGCTCTGCCCCTCTGTGTTAATGTCCAAGATGCCAGCTGGGGGGTGCGCAGACGGCGAGTGTTTGCAGCCCGCAGACCCTTCCTGTGGTGGTCGTGCTGTTTATCCTCACCACGCAGCAGGCGAGCGAACCATCGCCATAGCCTCACGAGGACTTGCTGTCCCCATCATGTCCTGTGAGTTTTTAAAAACAGATAGAATTCAGTCACTCAGAATTCATCCTCTTAACCACATTAAAGCATGCAGTTGAGTGCCAGAATATTCAGCATTCTGTAATCATCACCACCTTTCAACGCTAAAATGTTTTCATCACCCCCAGAAGGAACCCCGTCCCCATCAGCAGTCCCACCCATCCGCCCCCCCACCCCTGCTGCGGCACCGTCCTCGGGTCGGTCTGTCCTGACGCTGTAGAGGTGTGGAACTGTGCGGCCTGTGGCCTCTCCTCGCTGACTGTCATTTCCGCGTGCACCACGCTCAGGGCTCACCTGCACCGCGCAGGAACCCGCGTTCTCTTTCCAGTGCTGAGCTGCCCACGTGGAGCCAGACCTCGTAGTGTCTGTTGTTGCCTCATCAGCGGGGCTGTGCTTGACTCTTAGTGATGCCACTCTGAGCCTCTGGCACACGCGCCAGCTGCTGGGTTGTACGGGAGCTCAGGGCGCGGCCTTTCTGAGGGACCACCCCCTGCCTTCCAGCTTGTGGGTGCTGTGAAGGCAGGTGTCCAGCCTCGACCCCAAGGTGGCCGAGCCGTGAAGGCAGGGAATGGGGCTCAGGGCCACTCTGCCGCCTCTCGGCTCCCCACCCCGGGGGACTGCCCAGAGTGGTCAGCAAAGCTGGGCACGCAGGCTTCACCCTCAGCCTGTGTTCTCTCCTCCCAGCCACCCAGGCCGATCCACGAGACCTTCACGAGCTGTTTCAGGAGACGTCGGCCAACGTCTTCCAAATCAACTTCAGCGGTGAGTCTGTGTCTGGCCCGGGTCTGCGCCCTCTGCCCAGGTGCCTGGACCACCAGAGACATTGGAGGCTAGGGTGCTGGTGGACAGCTTCCCCCCTCAGGCCCTCCCGTGGTGCAGTCCCGGGTTTCTCGGGTGGGAAGGAGCGAGGGCTGGGTCAGGCCTGGGTGCCGTTCCAGCTGGCTGCTCCTGCCCACTGCCCCTGCCTGCTCCCCCTACCTGCTGCCTCCTGCCCGCTGCCCGCTACCTGCTGCCTCCTGCCCGCTGCCCCTGCCTGCTGCCCCCTGCCCACTACCCCCTGCCTGCTGCCACCTGCCCGTTGCCCCCTGCCTGCTGCCCCCTGTCCCCTGCTGGCTCCTCTCCCAACCCCACGATGCTCCTTCTTGAAGCCTTTTGTGTGCTCTGGATGGAGCCCAGGGGAGGAAGGAGCATCCTAGGGCCCCTCAGACTTGGAGACCAGAGGTCACTGAGGCTGGGATCAGGGATGAAAGCCACACCCAAGATGGCCACGGGAGGGGCAAGGGCGGGGTGAGGGGAGCAGGGTGGAGAGAAGCTGTCCCCAGAACCAGGGCAAGCCTGCTGGAGGCAGCTCCTCAGAGCCCCTGAGCTGCACGTGGACCTGAGTGTCTGTCTTAGGCCAGCTGGTGAGGGGTCCGGGCTGGCATGGCCTCCTGCTGAGGGCAGTGTGGGTCCTGGCCTCCAGACCACTCAGGTGGTCCGCCCCGGCTCAGGCACTGGTCCGCGGGCTCTCCTCACTGTGCCTGGGCTGTGGTGGGCCACCCATGGGAGTAGCAGGGGTAGGGAGGCTCCTTCTGACCCTCACACCTGTCCCTCTTCTCTCGGGCAGTGACGTCCTTGGAGCAGAGCCTTCGGTCCCTAGGGACACCGAGTGACACACAGGAGCTTCGGGACAGCCTGTGAGTGTGTGGTGCAGCATCTCCGCCCTGGGCGCGGTGCACATTGGGGTGCAGGGCGGGAGTGTGGTCCTGTGCACACAGGCTTTGTCCACACAGCTGCTTGCCCACAGCTGCCTGGGCACACGTGTGCACATACACATACGCACCTGCGGAGAAGCCTGGTCAGGGCTGTGAACCTGGGACTGGGCCCTCGGCCTGCAGGTTCCCTCCGCAGGGCACAGGTGTGCCTGCCCCGACACAGAAGCCAAGTGCACCAGTGCATGCCCCAGATGCATGTGTGTGCCAAGGTGGGGGGTTCATGCCTGCTGGCACATGCTCTGCCCTGCCAACATGCTCCAGATGTGTCTTTGCCACATCTGAAGGCTCCCTGTTGGGGCCTGCACATCTGTGGACACAGGAGGTGACACAGATGTGCCATTTGCACAGCCATGGGCTAGGTTGGAGTGGGGCGTCTGGTCTTGTGTCTGCCCTTTCAGGGAGCTGAGCCTTGGTGGGGGTCCCACTGAACTTTCCTTGAGGGGTGCCCAGCGGCCTGCCCTGGGTTTGGCTAGTCTGGGATGGGCAGAGGCACCTGAGGTGCTGTCTGCTAAGCCTGAGCCCGGGCTGGGCTGGAGAGGGAAAGGAGCATCTGCCTCAGGTGTGGTCAGTGTGGCACTATGGGGTCTGAGGGGATGCTGGCAGTCTATACCTTTGACCCCCAGCTGGTCCCCACTGCACTCACTGGCCTGTGCCCCACCGCCCTGCAACCAGCCCCGGGTGCGCTGCTTGCTTGGGGTTGTCCTCGGGCTCCTCTGTGCAGAACTGGGGGCCACACCAGCCTCGCACCTGAAAAGGCCAGAACTGAGGAGGCTGGGAGGGTCACGGCTCCCACCATGGTGGAGGGTGCTGGAGTCTCTGCTCCTCCTCACAGTGGCTCCGTTTATAACACAGTGCCCTTCTGCACGGGCTCATGCATCAGCTGCAGAGCACCCTTTGCAGAGGTTCAGGGCAATTCTATTCTTAGCTTTTTTTAAAGGAAACACTGTTTTCTGATGTGACCGTGATGCAGGCTCGTGCCAGGGAATTTGGACACACAAGATCCCTGGGGAGCTGTGGTTAGCATGTCAGCGTTCTCTGCCAACCCTCCCCACACTCACACACATTCACAGGGTCACAGTTCAGCGACGGACTCCGGACCTGCCGGTCACACCGGGCTCTGGGGTTCTTGGGCACGGGAAGCGCGCATCCTCTCAGAGGCACTGTCGATGCTTGGAGCTGGGTGACTCGTGTGTGGGTTGCACCTGGGGCTCTCCTGTCTCGTCAGAGTGCTGAGCAGTTCCCAGCGCAGCTGTTGCACTTAGGTCTTAGTGCCTCTGCAGGGCTCCTGGGTTAGGTCACAGGGCCAGGAGGGACGGGCATTTCAAGACCTGATCCTCACATGCATATCCTGGGCTGCCCAGCCTGCTTAGCGGAAGCCCGACGCTGCCCTGGTGGAGTAGGAGACTGCCCTGGTCTCAGGACTGGGTGTCCCGGCGCCTCGGCCTTCCCACGGGCTGACCTCAGCGCTCATGTCCTGAAACCCTTGCCTTAGTGCTTTTCTGACCCTCCTGCGTGGCCAGCTGCAGGCCTAACCTGCTTATCATGGCTTCCAGAGACTTCTGTGGCCCCTCTGATGCTCCCCTATCATGGACCATTAACGTTTAAAAATAACTCTTGAGACCAACAGGATTGCCAGTTCTGTATTTCCTCCACATTGACGAAGTCGCCAGCTAAGGACATTTAAGGAATATGCTTTCATCCATGGCAGCCATCGCTTGATTAGGGAAGAGGCTCTCCAGCCCTGCAGCGCAGGCGGGGCCCAGTCTCAGGAGGGGGTTGGTCCTTCCTCTGGAATCACATTCAACTTCAGAAAAGCCTTGCCAGGTGGGGCCCATGTCCCTGATGTCATGCAAGGCCAGCGTGGCCAGGTTGTTTCTGTCACCTGTGTGCGGACCCTGCCCAGACCTCCCTGTCACAGACCCACAGATTGGAGTGCAGTGGCCACATTACGATCCCATGGGGGGCTCAGTGGCAGCTTGGCTCACGCCCTGCCGTCTGGACTCCATTCCCTTCCATCCTGGGGGTCATCCCACTCTAGAGATGGTGTGTGGGCCAGCGTACCCCTGCTGTGTGGCACAGAGAGCCCGCTTCCCTGGGGTTTGGGGCTTGTCCCGTGGGCCGCATTCCCTGGTCTGCCAGGGCATGCAGCGATGCCTCCCGCTCACCTCCCGGTTGTGGGGAGGTGTAGGGTGGGTGGCCCTGATGGGGGTGCATGAGACGTGGTGGCTGAGGGTCTGCTGGCCCACCGCCCCACGGGCAGTGATGGGGGTGAGGTCCGGGTGAGCTGGGCTGCTGCTCCGCCTGAGGGGTGCCCTCCTTCCCGGCCCAGGATTTACATGTCAGAATCAGCACCAGAAGGGTTCAAGGAGCCTTGGATGGCAATCATCCAGCAGTGAGGGCCTGTGCTTGGCAGCTCTTTCAGGGGCTTAGTCCTCACAGCTGCGCCTCCTGCAGAGACAGCTTAGGCAGGGCAGGACTGCGAGCCATGTGCCCGGCTCGTCCCATCCCACATGGAAGGCAAGCCCCTGTGGCACACAGGTGGCCAGCAGGGTGTAAAGAGCTAAGCCCCTGGCCAGCCTGACAGAGGGCGCTGTGAGGGTCAGAGAGGGCTCATACCACCCTCCATAGGTAAGGACAGACACATTCGCCAGTTGGTACCAAACCGCACCCCTCAGTCCTGCTGTGAGAATGCACCCATTCACCAGCTGGTACAGAACCACGCCTCTCAGTCCTGCTGTGAGGATCGGCCCATTCACCAGCTGGTACAGAACCGCGCCCCTCTGTCCTGCTGTGAGGACAGACCCGTTCACCAGCTGGTACAGAACCATGCCCCTCAATCCCGCTGTGAGGACAAACCCATTCTCCAGCTGTTACAGAACTGCGCCCCTCTGTGCCACTGTGAGGATGCACCCATTCTCCAGCTGTTACAGAACTGAGCCCCTCTATCTTGCTGTGAGGATGCACCCATTCACCAGCTGGTACAGAACCACGCTCCTCTGTCCTGCTGTGAGGATGGACCCATTCGCCAGCTGGTGGGCATTTGGGTGGCTTCATTTTGACCACGATGAATAAAGCTGTGGTGAATGTTTGTGTGTAGGTGTTGGCGTGGCCGTAGGTTTTCACCTATCTTGGGTGTATCCCCAGGAGTGGACTTGCTGGGTTATATGGTGGCTCTTTAACCCTTTGAGGAACTGCCAGACTTTTCCAAAGTGGCTGCCCCATTTGACGCCCCCACCAGTATTGTTGGAAGGCTCTACTTTCCCTGCCTCACTGCCAGTACTTGCTGTTATCTGTCTTTTGGATGCTGGCCATCCTGGTGGGTGCGAAGTGGGGTCTTGTGGTAATATGATTGGCATTTTCCTAGTACTTGATGGCATCAAGCATCTTTTCATGTGCCTGTTGGCTGTTTGTCTATCTTCTTGGAAGAAGTGTCTATTCAGATCCTTTTCCCATGTCCTAATCAGGTATTTTTCTTTTTACTGTTGAGTTGATTCCTTCTAAAAGTTTTCTCCTGCTGCGCAGTTGTGCTCTCCTGGGCCCTTGCCTTCACTGGTGCTGGTTCCTCATCCATTTGTCTCCAGCCTCTTCCTCTTTGAACTCCCCCCCTTCCCTTGGTGATATTGCATGTCCCACAGCTTGGAATCCCTCCTCAGTAGGGCCCCAGAACCCCAGGTGTCCCTCCAGCCCTGCTCCCTTCTTGCTCTCTGAGTTAGGGTCCTTCTGGATTGACCTGGGGTCTCCCTGTCAGTCCCAGGCCAAGAAAGAGATGGGGCTGCCCCAGCCCCACTTCTGCCCACTGCAGCTCACCAGCTGCAGCCTGCAGGTGTTTTTGTGACTGAGGGCCTGCGTCCTTGTCTGTAAAACATAGGTGGTCATGAGAGTCAGTGAGCAGATGTGATGTACGTCGGACATGAGGTACCTCCAAACGACATCTTAAATAATGACAGGCAAACAAGAGAGCCTCCATGCTCAGGTCAGTTCAGGGACAGCAGACCTGGGCACGAGAGGAAGTGGGTCTCAGGTGACACCCCTGCTAGGCAGGCATCACAGGTGCCTCAGTCACCTGACTGCTGGCAGCGATGGCACCACCTGGCTGGCAGCTGTGCAGGCCTTGCACAGGAGTTCTGGGAGAGGGGTGCTTGGGTCACGTTCCTCAGACCCTGTAGCCACCTACCTCACCTTTCAGCAAAACCATGCAGAGCTGGTTGTGGGCTAGTAAAGTGGTCACGGGGATGTGTGGGCTTTGTAAAGTGGTCATGGGGATGCGTGGGCTTTGTAAAGTCATGGGGACTCGTGGGCTTTGTAAAGTGGTCATGGGGACGCGTGGGCTAATAAAGTGTTCGTGGGGATGCGTGGGCTTTGTAAAGTGGTCATGGGGATGCGTGGGCTAATAAAGTGTTCGTGGGGACGCGTGGGGTTTGTAAAGTGGTCATGGGGACGTGTGGGCTTTGTAAAGTGGTCATGGGGACGTGTGGGCTTTGTAAAGTGGTCACGGGGATGTGTGGGCTTTGTAAAGTGGTTGTTGGGATGTGTAGGCTTCATAAAGTGGTCATGGGGATATGTGGGCTAGTAAAGTGTTCATGGGGATGCGTGGGCTTCGTAAAGTGCCTTGCTGGTCCTGGGTTGCTCTGTTGCCCTGGCTGAGGCACCCCACCCTTCCGGGCAGTGTCCAGCCTCAAAGTGGAGTCATCATTTCCCGGGAGAGCCCTCTCCAGTGGGACCCACACTAGGCCTTGCTGCCCCATTGCCCCCCCACAGGGCCTCCCTGTGCCAGCAGGGGTCTGAAAGTGCCTCTTTAGGGTGTCTCTCATACTTTGGCTAGAGGCAGCATTCCAGAGAGTCCCCGACGGCTCACTGTCCACCGTGGAGACCAAGGCCACGAGCCGTCCCACCCCCTCCCACTCCCCATGCCACTGCGTTCAGCCAACTACGCCAGTGCTGCTGCCAGTGCTGCCCAAGCAGATCTCTCACGCTCTTCTGTAATTCAGTCTACACTTTAGAGTCAGCTTGTCAATTATTATTTCTTTTAAAAAAAAGCCTGCTGTAATTTTTAGGGGTTACCTTGAATCTGTAGGCAAATTAAAGGAGAACTGCCTTCGTAACAACATCATTGTCCAACCCATGGATGTGGTCAGGCCGGCCTTTCTCTTATCTGTGTTCTTTTCCTCTTGCTGACTGCAACTCCATATAAATACGGGTGACTTCCGTGTACTTCCTTGAATCCTGCGACCTGCATAGATTCCCTCGCTGATTAGTTCCGGGGGCTTCTTTGTAGATTTCTCCAGATTTTCTATATAGATGCACATGTGTCTGTGACTGAAGACAGTTTTTCTCCTTCATTTTCAATCTTTAAGCTTCTTAGTTCCTTCCCCGTTGTTCCAAGGCAAACCTTCACAAAGGGGAGTCAAAGTGGCCCAAGCACACGCCTGCCTCCTTCCCGGCCTTTCAGGGAGGCATTCCGTCTTTTGCCGTAAGCATACTAGGTGTTAGTTTTGTTTTTTTATTTAACAGACACTCTGTATTGGGTTGAGGATGTCCCCTTCTTTTTTCTAGTTTCCTTAGTTTTAGTCTAGAATGAGTGTTGAATTTTGTCACACGCTTTTTCTGCATAATTTATTAAGATGTTTTTCTCCTTTTTAAATTTGCTCTGTTGATGTGAGGATCACACTCATTGATATTTGAATGTTGAACCAACCTTAGATCCCCTGGGTAAGCTCCTCTTGGTCATGTTGTTGTATACCTTTCACATATTGTTGAATGCGTTTTTCTAAAATTGTATCGAAGATTTCTGCTGCTGGGTGAGTGATATATAGGTTTCTTTCCTTTAGATTTTCTACTTGGGTTTTGTCATCAGGGTAACGTGGGCCTCAAACAGTGTGTGTCTCTTCTCTGTTTTCTAGGGGATTACATGATGTTGAGACTGAAGCTTGCTGTGGCTGTGTACTTGCAGCAGTGTTTTTAAGTGCAAATTGAATTCCTGCCATACATATAGAGCTATTTAGGTTTTCTGTTTCTTTTTGAGTCAGTTTCGATATAATTCGTGACTTTTAAGGAGTTTTTCTATTTAATCTTAGTTGTCAAATTTATGGGCCTCACAGGATCTGTATTTCTTAAATGTTCTTTTAATGTTGGATCGGTAGTCAGGTTCACTGTTTCATTCTTACCTTGGTAATTTGCATATGTGGTTTTTTTTCTCCTGACCTGTCTTGGCAGAGCTGTGTAATCCTTTAAATGCTTTTTGATTCTATTTGTTCTATTATTGATCTGTTTGCTACTTTATTAAGCATTGAACTTAACTTCATTATCTCTGTTCTACTTTCTTTGTGTTTAATTTGCTGGCTTCTTTAGGTGGACTTTCTGGACATTGATTTTATTCTTTTTTCTAGTATCAGAATTTAAAGCAACAGTTTCCTTGTAAGTGCTGTTTTAGCTGCATCCCTTAGCTTTGTGTGTTGTTTTAAAGCGTGTTGTCTACTTGTTGGAGGTAGGGGTACTGCGGGTACCGTGGCTGTGACTGGAGGTGTCCGCCAGGCCTTTCTCTGGGACGAGCGCAGGGGAAGGCCCTCCCCGTGCCCTTCCTGACTGGGGGCTCATTCCTCACTCCCTCTATCACTTGCTGGGTTTCTGGTTGGCAGCCTCCTGTTCCCACGACAGACTTGGCAGGGTCATCTGAAGCCTGGGGGGTTGCCAGGTCGGGTGAGGAGGCTTCAGTCGCTTTGATCCTGCACGGTGCTAACAGTTTGTGAGGGAGACGGAGATGAGAGGAGATCCCCCCTGGAAAGAGAAGCCTGACCCGCCGCGCACAGGAAGCGGCCGCCTTTGTTCTGGCACTCAGGGCTCCATGAGGATGTTTTAGCGGGGGCATGAGGGAGAGCCCCTGCCACCGTGACAGTCTAGAGGAGGGGAAAGGTCAGCGAGGAGCGGGGAAGAGTGTGGGGCCGTGGCCTGCCTGGCCCTCCCTGGGAAGCTGTGTGGGCAGGCGCAGGGGGCATTACCCCATGGTGGCAGCGTGACCACAGACACGCTCCTGGCCAGCAGCCAGGGCTTGGTGGTCCGTACCAGGCCTAGAAATGAACGAAGGCAAGGATTTGTCCAGCTCCTTCAAGACAACTGTGGGCTGGGAGTGAAGTGAACACCGGCGCGGTGGGGAGGTGAAGTCGGAGGTGTGGGAGGCTGCCCATGAGGGCGGCTGCCCATGAGGGAGGCTGCCCATGAGGGCGGCTGCCCATGAGGGCTTGGAGCAGCGCTGCAGGGACTCTGGCTTTGACTGGAATGAAATGTGAAACCGCTGGTGAGTGGTGAGGTTTGGAGTGGCAGGATCGGAACTTTCTTTAGCAGGAGAGTGGGCCGGGGACAGGAGGCTGTGGACAGCCCAGGGCGAGGAGGAGACCCTTGAGAGCAGGGGTGAGGGGCACGCTGCTTCCGAATCCTCGCAGTGTTAAGCTAGTGGTTGGCTGAAGAGGCGTGTTTGGGGGCTGGAGGCACTGGAGGCTGTCCAAAGCCTCAGACCAGCCCCGGGAGGAGGTGGCCCGACCACGTCCCCAGGGTGGGAAGCTCCTGTCCCCGCGGTTCCAAGCAGGCTGTGGTAACCTCGTGGCTCCTCGCCCTCCTTGGCCCACACCCTCTCTAGCCTGCTGGTGCCTATTCTGGGGGCACTCCTCCTCTGTGTGCCACAGGCTCTGCCCACCCAGGGTGGGTATCAGGAGGTGGGCCCACTTCTGTAGGCTTGGCCTGTGGTGGCACCGGGCTTGCTCCCACCTGTCGGCCCCAAGGCTGGCTTGGAGCAGGCCCTGGGTGATGCCTGAGGGGCTCTCAGGCCGTTTGGGCTGTACCTGGAGGGATCACCGAGGCTCCCCAGTTTCTGCCAGGCCAGGGTCCTCCTGCACCTGGGGTGTGTGCCTGCAGCCAGGCTGGGTACGGTTGCCCTGGTGCCTCCCTGTCCAGGGATGGGGGTGGCGAACCCCAAGTGGGAGACGGCTGCTCTTCCCACTTGCTTTCGAGGGCAGGCCTGGAACTGCAGCCTGGGACTGTCCTAGTCTCCTTGCGTCTCACCGGGCCTGGGTGTTGGAACCATCTCACCCGGGGCCCTGCAGGTGTGTGCAGGGGGGCTGAGGGCTGCTGGCCTCCTGGGCCGTTGTGCTGTTGCCTTCCCAAGGAGAGCTGACCCCAGAGGGGCCTTTCTGCAGGTCGGGCTTGTGGCCGGGCACCTGTCTATGGGCATTTGGGGGTGGCTGTGGTGTGGGGGCAAGGCAGTCCTGGCAGTGGCTGATGGGTGAGACCCACCTGCCACCACCATGGCTGCCTGTACCACCCACTCCAGCCAGAGCTTACCTGCACTGTCTCTTCCCCTGCCCCACACCCACCGGCCTTTCTGCCCTCCCTGTCTCCTGCTGGGTGTCTGCTGTCCCTCCCTGTCCTGGCTTTGGGCTCCCTCCTCTTTCTCTTGGGAGCCACTGCTCTCGCCTCCGTCCCTTCTCTCTCGGAGGCTCTTCCTCTCTGCTGCCCTTGCCCTGCTCTTGTTTTCCTCCCTCTGCCATTTTCTGTGTCTCTCGGCGCACTCTCCGTCTGTCCGTCCGTCTGTCCCTGTCTCCCCGACTCTGCCCGTGTGTCCCTCCCTGCTGCGCCCTCCTGGGCCCTCGCTCTCCCCTGCCTCCCTCCCCTGCCTCCCTCCCTGCCTCCCTCCCCTGCCTCCCTCCCCTGCCTCCCTCGCCTGCCTCCCTCCCCTGCCTCCCTCCCCTGCCCCCCTCCCCTGCCTCCCTTCCCTGCCTCTGCTCCTGGCCCCTTCTCTGCCCCCAGGCACACGGCGCAGCAGGAGACTAACAAGACCATCGCAGCCAGCGCCGGCTCCGTGAGGCAGATGGCTGAACTGCTGCCCAGCTCCTGCCCGGTATGTCCCCGGGGTCTGGGGCTGGGAGGGAGGGAGGCACAGACCCCTATGCCTGTGGTGGGGGTGGGGGCATCACACGAGGCAGGATACAGGGAGGCTGAGGTGCGTGGATGGACACAGCTGGCCTAGCTCTGGCCTGACGTGGCTCCGTGGCTCAGAGCCTGTGTGGATCCGTGGCTCAGAGCTTGTGTGGCTCCGTGGCTCAGAGCTTATGTGGCTCCGTGGCTCAGAGCCTGTGTTCCATCACTTGGGTGGGAGCGGGTATGTCCGCCTGGGCTCCTGATCTCCTTGGCTTATGCGGTAGTGGGGACAAGAGTGTCCTGGGTCTTCCAGGCCGGGCCTTACTGGAGGCTGATGGCCCGTCATCATTGGTTTCACCATCCTCTCCCTTGCCCTGTGTCCCCTCTGCCTGCATCTGCCACCCACAGCCCCTGCACGTGTCCCTCCCCACCCCCCGCCTACCCTCACACCTTGCCAGATGTGTGGGCCTCAGGCCAGACACGTAACTATGGCAGTGGCCACCACCACCCCCACTGTCACAGCCACCACCACCATCTGGCTCAGCTGCCGAGGCCACACCCTCATCCCCACCCTGTCCCTTTTTTTTGAGACGGAGTCTTGCTCTGTCTTCCAGGCTGGAATACAGTGGTGCAATCTCAGCTCACTGCAACTTCTGCCTCCTGGGTTCGTGATTCTGTCAGCCTCCCAAGTAGCTGGGATTACACGATCCTGTCACCATGCCCAGCTAATTTGTGTATTTTTAGTAGAGATGGAGTTTTACTATGTTGCCCAGGCTGGTCTTGAACTCCTGACCTCAAGTGATCTGCCCGCCTCAGCCTCCCAAATTGCTGGGATTACAGGCCTAAGCCACTGCGCCTGGCCCTGTCCCCACTTCCATCCCTCCCCACACCCTCTGTGCCACCACACCAGGTCAGTGCCCAGTCGCTGAAGATTGGAGGGTGCTTGTCACAAAAGATTAAAGGCTGCTGGACCCTAAGGTTTTACGGGGCTGGAGTCAGCAAGCTGTAGCCCGCTGGCCTGCACCGGCTTCATGGCCTCGGCAGGGCTGGGGTTGCAAGGTCCGGCCTGCGGCAGAGCCAGCAGCGTGGACCAGCCGGTCCTGCAGGGGAAATGCATGCCGTCCTCCCTGTGGAAACACGGGTGACGCGGCCAGTGCTGCTTTGGGTGCGGTCAGCAGTGAGAAGGGGTGGAGAGCTAGGCAGGGCGCCGTGTCGTGGGGCTGGAAGGCCGCGTGCCCCCACGCAGAACACACAGTGTGTGGTTCTGTTTGTGTGAAACAGCCAGAAAATGCGAGTCTCTGTTGACTAAAAGTAGAAGCGTGGTGGCCGAGGCTGGGAGCAGGAGTTGGTTTTGGGGCACCTGCAGGCAGGCAGGGCCCTTTCTGGGGCAATGGGGAAGTTCTAAAACTGGGTTGTGGGGATGACTGCACCACCAGAATGACTGAACTCTACACTTCCAGCGCCTGAGTTTTATCAGGTTAAACTATACTGTAATAAAACTTTTACTTAGAAAAGTAGAACTGGTTCAACAGTTACACTAAAAAACCGTGCTGCAGAGGCAGCAGCCCCTGTCCGGTGACGGGGTGGCCGGAGTCTCCCTCAAGTTGAAGGACAGGATCCTGGGGAGCTTCGTGCTGAGCAGCCTGGAGCCTCTCTGTGTGTGCGCCTCTCCTCATGGTCCTGGCCACCCTGCGGGGGCCGCTCTGTGGGGACTGGGTGCTGCCCTGGCTTGTGCCCTCAGGCACTGGTGCCAGCAGCATCACGACCAGCACCGATGCCCGTGTCTGACCTCTTCCTCTGTAGCTTTGTTCTTCGTTTTCTGAGTCAGGTGTGCCTGAGTCACTGTTCATTCATTTATTCATTTCTCCAAGAATACGCCCTGGGTCCCTCTTAGCGAGACACGGTGCTTACATGAGGCGCTGAGGGAGGCCCCGGATGGCCGCGGGTTGCGATTCTGAGAGGTGTTTCCGTGGCGTCGGAGTGGCGTCAGGTGGTCCACACAGGTCGTTTCCTGGTGAAGCGAATGGTTCCTTCATGTGGCTCGGTGGTGCTGTCAGTGCCTACCGCATCTTCGACTTTGTGGGCTGCAGACCTTTGTTGAGAAGTAGTCCGTTCAGTCGTGGGATGAGGCCAAGGCAGTGATAGGCTGCCCCCAGTGCCCCTCGGCCGACAGAGGTTGATCCCAGGCCAGCCCGCCTGAGCCTTGGCTCTCTGGAGTCCTCTGATCGCCGTGGGGTGGGTGCTGGAAGGAAGCTTGGGTTCCTTGGTGCTCCTGCTGGTGGACGGTGCCCACGGTGAGCCAGAGCTGTGGGGCTGGCCCCAGGGCTGTTTGTCTAGCCCCACCCCGGCTCAGTGCTTCCCCAGCTCCCAGTCTGGAGCAGGTGCCTGGCGGGTGCTGGGGTGTGGTGGTGAACTTCCCAGCAGGAAGGAATCGGGGTTGGTGGAACCCTGGAGACGAGATACTGGGAAAGGATCATTCTGGCGGTGGCCTCACCACCTACGTGACCACAGACAAGCCACTGGGGATGGAGGGCTTTGGTGTCCTGTGCTGTGGAAGAGGGTCATGGTGCTTCTCATGGAGTGGGGTGTGGGGCCAGGTTTGCCTGCCTTGAGTAGCTCCTGGCTCTGGCTGATGATGCTGACCCCTGAGCTGGATTTTGTAGTGATGGTGTCCCTCGACATCTGGGTGTACCTGTCGAGACACTAGTGACATGGGGGGAAGAGGCTGATGGCACACCCCATTCTGAGTGTGGGAAGGTGGGACGTGGGTACAGGAGAAGGTGTGGGTGGTGGGGCCACTGGGGCAGGGCAAAGCCTCCCATGCCGTGCAAGCCACGCCCTCTCTTTGCAGCAGGAGCGTCCTCAGCTGGACCAGCTGAAAGCCCAGCTCTCGGATGCCATTCAGCGCTACGGAGTGGTGCAGAAGGTGAGGTGCGGGGGGCGGGGCCTGCAGGCCACGTGGGGCAGGCCTCAGTTGCCGGAGCACCCTCGCAGCTGTCTTGTCCCCGGGTGGGCCTGGTGCAGCCCCCTCCCCAAAGGCAGAGCAAGGGGTTGTCCTTGTGGACAGTCTCCAGGCAGCCAGGATCCAGACTGTGCCTCAGGGCACGTGTCCTGGAGGACGCTTACCTTCAAGAGCCGCCCCACAGCAGCTCTGGGGAAGCAGGAAGAACAGGTCTCACCCTGTTCTGACAGGCGAGGACACTGAGGCCCAGGGAGCTCCCATGCATGGGCAGAGGCCATCCAGCGACTCGCTAACAGAGCTCAGCTCTGGGCCCAGCCCCCGTCCTCTTTTGGGCGTGGAGGACGTGGTCTGCGGTGCATCGCCCAGAGTCCTGCACTCATCTGACTGTTTCTTCTTCCTTCCCTGACTTTTTTGCTCTTCCTGTCTTTCTTCTCTCGTACTTTTTTCAACAGAAAATTGCAGAAAAGTCCAGAGCACTGCTTCCCATGGCTCAGAGGGGCGGTAAACAGGTGGGTGCTGAGTGCTGACCATGGTCAGGGCTGTTGGGGTAAAGCCCGGAGTTCACTGCCATGTGTGCTCCACGGAAGGGTGGGAAGGGCCAAGGGCAGGGCCTCACCTGAGGGCGCCCTGATGCACAGCCTTGAGAACATAGGCGTCTTAACCTTTGGGCTCCGGCACAGCGCCTGGTAGGACTCACCTCCCAAGGGATGACTGATGGCTCCACGTGCCAGGCAGGACTCACTGCTCAGACCAGCCCTCCTGCTGACAGCCATTGTAAAACGTACTTAAAACGCATCACATGTGTCTGGGCGTGGTGGCTCACACCTGCAATCTCAGCACATTGGGAGGCTGAGGCAGGTGGATCACCTGAGGTCAGGAGTTCTCGAGACCAGCCTGGTCAACATGGACAAACCCCGTCTCCACTAAAAATATAAAAATTAGCTGGGCGTGGTGGCGAGCACCTGCAATCTCAGCTACTTGGGAGGCTGAGGCAGGAGAATTGCTTGAAATCCGGGAGGTGGAGGTTCCAGTGAGCCAAGATTGTGCCACTGCACTCCAGTCTTACTCAGTGATAGAGTGAGACTCTGTCTCAAAACAAACAGAAAGAAAACACATGGACACGCATGCAGAAACATGCACACATAGATGAACACAGACACGCAGAGACACACAGATCCAGCATGAGGGAGGCATGGGAGCAGCTGGGAGCCAGGCCTAGAGAGGCACGCATTCCCAGGTAACTCGCTCACCATCACTTCCTTCTCACCCCCAGGACATTTGCCAGCTTCTGTCTAAGCTTATGGAGACTGAACAGTGGTGGTGGCTTATAGCTTTAGTGGCCTTACTGGGCTAGAGAGACAAAAGCTGGAATTGAGGACCCTTAGGAGTAAACCCCGGAGCGCACGGGGATTGCAGCCCTCAGTCTGCTTTCCCTGTGAGGCAGGCTTTTGCTGATCCGTAGTCACTGGTGTGTGTGTGTGATGTGAGAGTCCAACAAGTCAACCAGCAAGCACTTTACAAGAAAAGCTGAACAAAAGTGGGTATCCTCAGAGTACTAAGAAGATGAACGTCGGATTTGAAGGCCCACCCAGGAGGAGGGGCTCTTGCAAACACGAGTTCCAGCTGAGACAATGAGAAGATGGAGGTAAACCAGAAATAGACCAGCCCTGACCACCAGAACCTAAAGCGTAGCCTGGAGTCATGTCTGCACTGTCTGTCCGGAGACGGGACAGTTCTGTCATCCGGAATCTCTGCGATTTTTCATACAGTGTCTGAGATTTAAGCCGAAGTCATTAGGCATCACGGGTAACAGGATCCAATTACTAAAGCCAAGGAGAGACAGTTAAGTAGAAACCAACCGACAGACCATGCAGATATTGAGATAGTTGGTTAAACACTCAGCTTAAAATAACTACAGGGTGAGCATCCCTAATTTAAAAATCCAAAATCCAAAAGGCTCCAAAATCTGAAACTTCTTGAGTGCCAACATGACGCACAAAGGAAATGCTCATTGGAACATTTAGGTTTTGGAGTTTTGATGAGGAATGTGCATCCAATAAATACCATGTAGATACTCCAAAATCTGGAAAAAAACTAAACAATTCGAAAGAAAGTTCAAAATCTGAAACACTTCTGCTCCCAAGCATTTTGGATGAGGGATACTCAACCTGTTTTATTAATATGTGAAGGAGAATAGTAAATGGTATAGATTTTTTTTTTTTTTTTTAGGAGAGTCTTGCTCTATGGCCAGACTGGAGTACAGTGGCACCATCTTGGTTCACTGCAGCCTCCACCTCCCAGGTGTAAGCAATTCTCGTGCCTCAGCCTCCCGAGTAGCTGGGACAACAGGTGTGGGCCACCACGCCCAGCTAGTTTTATGTTTTTTTAGTGGCAACAGGGTTTTACCATGTTGGCCAGGATGCCCCCAATCTCTTGACCTCGTGATCCACCTGCCTGGGCCTCCCAAAGTGCCGGGATTGCAGGTGTGAGCCACCGTGTTCGGCCAAGGGTATAGACTTTTACAGAGAACTTAAATTTTATTTTAAAAAGGGAGTTCCCGTATAGAGCAATATCATAGCTAAAATTAAGAGTTCAGTAGGTTAGCTACATCTCCACGTAGACAAAGCAGAAGAAAGTGAACTAGAAGGCAGGGGATAAGAAAACTTGTATTGATACACTAAAGAAAAAATGATAAAAAAAATCTAAAGAATATAGTTAGAGTCCTAGAGGAACAGGAGAGAGAGAAAATGGTCAAAAACAATATTTGAAGAGGTAATGGTTGAGTTTTCCAAAGCTGTCCAAATACTTCAAGTCACAGATTTCAAGAAGCTCTATGAATAGATAAATTTCTCCTTTTAAAAAACCACCCTTGGCCAGGCAGAGTGGCTCATGCCTATAATCCCAACGCTTTGGGAGGCTGAGGCCGGTGGATTACTTGAGCTCAGGCGTTTGAGACTAGCCTGACCAACATGGTGAAACCCCCCTCTCTACTGAAAATACAAAAATTAGCTGGGTGTGGTGGTGGGTGCTTATAATCCCAGCTACTTAGGAGGCCTAGGCATGAGAATCACTTGAACCAGGGAGGCAGAGGTTGCAGTGAGCCAAGATCACTCTATGGCACTCCAGCCTGAGCGACAGAGCGAGACTCTATGTCAAAACAAAAAACAAATAACCACCCTTGGTCATAGCATAATGAAAAATTTAAAACCAAAGACAAAAAATAAAATCCTAGAAAAGCAGATTAAAACTAGGAAAAAATGTTAAGAGCACATTAAAGTCAGAGAAAAAAGTCACATGATTTTTAAAGGAACAAGACTGACACCTGACTTTTTTAGAAGAAGCAATGGACCCAGAAGACAGTGGAAGTGCGTCTTCAAAGCGCACAAGACCAATAACCAGTCTCCAGCTGCACCCTGGGGAAGACGTGCCTCCGAAATAAAGGTAAAGCAAAAACAGTTCCACCCCCTCCAGGTGGAAAAGGAGTGGCCTCGGGGAAGCACGGTCCCGGCGCAGGGAGGAAGGGACACTGGGAGCAGCTGGACGCGGCTGTGCCTGGGTGGACATCAAGTGGAATAGTGATGATGAGGACTCCTACACATACAGCCCGGTGTGTGCTAGTGACAATGTCCCAGAAGACAGAGGGGAGGCGAACGGTGTTAAAGCGCTGGGACGTCCTTGCATCATCAGAGAAGTCACAGACAAATGGAAGGCAGACTGAGCAAGCCACGGATGAGTGCCGCGTGAGGTAGTGACATAGGCAATTGCTAGCAGGCACCCAGTAGGCAAGTTAGCAAAGCCAAAAGAATCGGCTCTTTGGAAGGATTGTTAAACCCCTGCAAGATTAATCAAGATAGAGAGAAAATACAGATGACCAGTATCAGAATGAAAATGGATAGATCATTACCAATCCTACACATTAAAAAAAGCTGTAGAGTCGTTATAAACATCGATAAATTTGACAGCTTAGAGGAAGTTTTTGTTTTAGAAAGCTATAATTTACCAAGAGGTACAGAAAATCTGGGATGCTTAATATTTATTTTAAAAATTAAATCCGTAATGAAATATTCCACAAAGAAAACTCTAGACCCGGATAGCTGTGTGGGTGAATTCATTCCCATATTTGAGCAGTAGATAGCAGCAGTTTACACACACTGTTACGGAGAATATGCCAGGAAGCACACCCCGCCATGCCTCATGAGGCCAGCAGTACCTTGATTCCAGATTCGTAGGAGGATCCCAGGAAGGAAAATACCGTGCCAGTCTCTCTTATGAACACAGAAACAAAAATCCTAACCTAAATAATAACAATGTAAATCTAGCGGTATGTAGCAGGGTGATACATCATTATAAAGTGGGACTTATTGTAGGGATTCGGGGTTGATTTGCATTCTGGATCTGGGGATGATTCACCACATAATATAGAATAAGTGAGGAACTCTGTACAGATCATTTCAGCAGGTACAGAAAAGTGCTTGATAAAATTCAATACTCAAGGAGGCTAAGAAACTCTTGGCAAATTGGGAATAGATAGGAATGCCTTCAGTCTCCCAAAAGGCAGCTTCAAAACCCTGCGGTTCACATCACGCCCACCGAGGAGATGTTAACCCCGCAGCTCACGTCGGGCTCACTGAGATGTTCACATCTTTTCTGCTAAGATTGAAGAGTAAACTAGGGCGTCTATTACTATCGCTTCTGTTCCCCATTGTGCCCGCAGCTGTGTCCCATGCAGTATGGCATGAAAAAGAAAAGGAGCAGGATTGAGGAGAAGAAACCATGTTCGCAGGTGTGATTCTGTCCGTGGAAAATCTGAACGCATCTGCAGCGTGCTGTCAGAATTTATCAGGGAACGTGGCGGGACTCCTGGAACCAGGTCAGTAGACAGGATGTCACGTCTGCTGGCAAAAGAGAGTTTGAAGAGGAGGTTTTAAAGCTGTTATAATAAATGTATTATAATAAATTTCCTCAAAAAATTCTGTGAAGAGCTGTTTAAGGCCTCTGCATTCAACACGACTGCATGACTGAGAGAAATGACAGATGTAAACCCTGGAGAGGGTGCCGTGTTGACGGAGATGCCAGCTCTCACCCACTGGGTCTGTGGGCTCAATGCAATCCCAGTGCAGTTCCAGCAGGTTTTCAGTGTGGGTGTGTGTGCACGCATGCGTGCGTGTGTGTGTGTGTACGTGAACTGTCAAGCTAATTCCAAAATGTATACGGAAATATGGAAGACCCAAAATAGTGAAGACAATTTTGAAGAAGAACAGAAGGGATTTGTACTATCAGGTATTGGAACACGCTGCAAAGCACAGAAATGAAAACAGTGTGGTGTTTGTGTGAGGCTAGACACACCAGCCCGTGGGACAGAGCAGAGACGGGACACGGAGCACGTGTACATGGCAGCTGGGTTTGTGGCCGAGGTGGACTGCCCTGCCACAGGAGGTGGGTGATTTATTCTGGGCTTCATGTGGATCACTAGCATGTTTGAACTCGGAAAAAAGACCCTTTGCAAACG